ATAGAAATTTTCCTCATCCTGATCCCCACTCAACTTATTCATTCAACAATCATTATTTTGCCTTCTGTTTGGCAATTTTAGTTCATATACTGTTCTACAATTGTAATACAGTTTATATTGACATTCTTCTTCACATGCATTGTAAATCCAAATATATTCATGCTTTTTATTCCATCCTTAGGTTAAGTTAGAAAATGAAAAAAAAAATCACAATCCGTAAGTGACAAAAATAATTTATAAAGAGCACAACCATTAAATATTTATCAATTGTAACTCTACTGCTTTTTCTCCCACTTGATAAAATTATGGAAATGAAAGTAAATGAGAATGAACAACTATAGGGATAATCTTGAATTTGTTCTATTTTGAGTAAATCATTTATAAACTTTGTTTCTTTAACATTAAAAGCAGCAATACCTGTCACACATCATCTAGCTCCTTTCAGCACATTACCATGTTAAGTTACCATAGTTGAGGAATGATTACAGCATTTAATTCTCAGAGCTAATCTTTCCTGTATTTATGGTTACTAGTTAGGTTTTGGCTTCATAGAAGTGTCTCAAGTAACCTGCAGATATCAAGGATGGTTAGTGTATGCAATGTATGGTTATAATATATGCATAGAAAATTCTGCAAGAGGTGAGGAGATAGTGCTATTAATAGAATTTTAAGTTAAATATTAGATCAACAGAAGGAAAAAAGGGAAAAAATAAGCAAAGTGCTGTCAATTCTTTAAACAAGATAAGCCCCAAATGAAGTTAACTGTATTGCATATAATATTTTATATAGTATTACTGTGTCTTCATCGCTTAGATTTGGACTATGAAATCAAGTGCCGTAATAGATGTTTCTTCATCACCTCTCCATGACAATCTTTTAAAAATTAGGAAAGTTTACTTTGTCTGGTTACCTTTATTTGTATTCCATGGTACTACTCAAACAAATCTAGTTGCTTTGAAGTAATCGTAAATTCTTTCATGGACCTCTTGTTTTAGAGCAGCTTTGTTGCAAGAATATAGTACATTTGGCTTGGTGTAGTGGCTTATACCTATAATCCCAGCACTTTGGGAGGCCAAGGAGATTGTTTCAGGCCAGGAGTTTGAGATCTGCCTGGGCAGCAGAAAAGTTTTTTAAAAATTAGCTGGGTGTGCTGGAAAGCTGTTACATATAAAAATTTTTTTTAAATTTTGTTTTAACAAAACCATGTTAGGGAGTGCATAAAGTCAAGTTAGTAGGTATATTTAATAAAAGAATATTGTGTTCCAAGTATAGAACCATTTCTCATCAAGAAGAGTTAATAGTTTTATTCAGGAGAAAAAAATGACATATTAAGTATTTTGTCTTTAATAATTTTAGCTTTTATTTTAGATTCAGAGAGTACATGTGCAGGTTACATGGGTATATTATGTGATGCTGAGGTTTGGAGTATGATTGAACTGTCACCCAGTTAATTAGCATAGTACCCAATAGTTAGTTTTTCAACATTAAGTATTTATTTATTTTTATTTTTTGAGATGGAGTTTCACTCTGTCACCCAGGCTGGAGTGCAGTGGGGCCATCTCTGCTCCTTGCAACCTCTACCTCCTGGGTTCAAGCAATTCTCCTCCCTCAGCCTCCTGAGTAGCTGGGATTACAGGTGCCCACCACCATGCCTAGCTAATTTTTGTATTTTTAGTAGAGACGGGGTTCATCATATAGGCCGGGATGGTCTGGAACTCCTGACCTCAGATGATCTGCCCGCCTCGGCTTTCCAAACTGCCTGGATTATAGGCATGAGCCACCTGCCCAGCCTAAGTATTTTATTATTACTGTATTTAAAACAGAGTCTCTCTCTGTTGCCCAGTCTGGAGTGCAGTGGTGCAGTCTTAGCTAACTGCAACCTCCACCTCCCAGGTTCAAGCGATTCTCTTGTCTTAGCCTCGTAAGTAGCTGGGATCACAGGTGTGTGCTACCACATCTTGCTAATTTTTGTATTTTGAGTAGAGATGGGATTTCACCATGTTGGCCAGGCTGGTCTCGAACTCCTGACCTCAGGTTATCCACCCATTTCGGCCTCCCAAAGTCGTGGGGTTACAGGTATGAGCCACTGCGCCTAGCCAACGTTAAGTATTTTTAAATTTATATTTATTTTTTGCGTAAGTACTAAAGATTCACATGGTCAACATTGGAAGGCTACAGAGTATATGGTGGAGAGTCTCCCTTCCACCTTGATCTCTTAAATACCCAGTCACAGCCAGTATTCGAACTTTTATCCCCCTGGAGATACTGTATGCATATATAAAGAAAAGAATGTGTGTTTTGCTTTCTTGTATATTGCTTTGCCCACAAATAATATCAATGCATTGTTCTGTACTTTAACAATGTATTTTAGATAACTTTATGTTTCTGTACATACAGAGCTTCCTCATTTTTTTTTACATGGTTTTGGTATACCATAATTTAACTAGTGTCCTGTCATAATTAGGTTGTTTGAACCTTTTACTATTAAAAGCAATGCAGTGAATAACTTTGTACATGGTGTTGTTTTATTGATATCTATAGGATAAAATAAAACAATCATTAGATTTAAATGTATGTGTTGTAATTTTGACAGATATTGCCAAACTGGTTCTCTCCCTTATTTGGGTAGGGCTTTTTTCTTTGTTTCTAATTGAGGTCTAATTTACAAACAATGAAACTGACAGTTTTTAAAGTATGCAATGTATTGGGAAGCTTATGCCAGTTTACACTATAGCCTGAAGTGTGTAACAATACCTTCATTGCTTAGTCTCACAACACCATGTTGATACCTTTTTGGTTTTTATATTTTTACCAACACTAATATGTAAGAAAGGTATTGGGATAATTTTTGGTTTGTTTGTTTTTTACCTTTTTTTCCTAAGTACAACTTATATACTGTAAAACAGAACTCATAAGTGTACAGCTCAGTGAGTTTATCACTGTCCAGGTCAAGATACAGAACATGGTCAGCACCCCAGAATGTCCCCTTTTATACTATTCCCCCCACACACAAAAAACTGCTCTGACCTCTGTCACCAAACGTGGTAGACTTTCCCATCTTTTTGAACTTCCTATGAAAGAAATCATGCAGAGTATACTTTCTTGCCATCTTTATCTTTTTAAATGTTTGTAGAGCCAGGGTCTATTTTGTTCAGACTGGCCTCAAACTCCTGGCCTCAAGCAGTCCTTCCCCTCAGCTTCCCAAAGTGCTGACATTACAGGTGTGAACCACTGCATCCAGCCTTTCTGATTTCTTTCATTCTGTAGTATATGTGAGATTCATCCATGTTGCATGCATCTGTTACTCTTTTTCATTGCTGTGATTCAGTAACTTGAATACCATAATTTGTCCTAGTGTTAATGGATATTTGGTTGATTTTATTTTTCATCTTTTTTGGATAAACTTCTGTAAAATTCTTGTACATGTCTTTGGAGGTATTAAGCATTCATTTATTTTGGCTGTACCGTACTGGGCAGATTTTGTTTTATTTATAATTTATAAACAATAAAATTCATCAATTTTTAGTTACAACTTGATAGGAAACCCATGGGTCTTAGATTTCTGCATTTCTTATGAGCAGATTCCTGATGTCTGCCTTTTTTTCTGAACTTAACCTTCTTTTTTTTTTTTTTTTTTGAGATTGGATCTCACTCTTTTGCCCAGGCTGGAGTGCAGTGGTGTGATCTCGGCTCACTGCAACCTCTGCCTTCTGGGTTCAAGCAATTCTCTGCCTCAGCCTCCTAAGTAGCTGGGATTACAGGCAGCTGCCACTATGCCTGGCTAATTTTTGTATTTTTAGTAGAGATGGAGTTTCACCATCTTGGCCAGGCTAGTCTTGAACTCCTGACCTCATGATCGACCTACCTCCACCTTCCAAAATGCTGGGGTTTCAGTTGTGAGCCACTGCACGTGGCCAACTTAGCTTTTAAAGACTGTTGGAAGATAGGCTCTCAGAGCCATGGAGCAAAGGGCAGGTTTGCTTATAGTCAAAGTTAGAGATATTGTCCCTCTCTAGAGTAAATGGCAGACACGCTTCCTGCACATTTTTCAAGTTTGGGGTTTCTTAAGCTCTGTCTTTTCTTTCCTGTGAAGCAACCTGTGCAGGTGTCATCTGACTTCACAGTGCCCTGTGGCAGTTGAGACTCAAGCAGCTGGCACAAGAAAATGCTGATACTCTGACTACTGTTATGAGTAATAAAGTCCTTTGTCTCTGACTCAAGAATGTCATGCCTTTTGCCAGTATCCATGACACTGGGGTAGACTGACTTGTTAGTTTTAAAGTGAGGTAAAATCTCACTTTGAAATAGTTGGTACAGAATTCAGTGAATTTTGACAAATGTGTAGTCTTTTTTTTTTTTTTTTTTAAGCTTTTAAGAATTTTATTGACCAAAATTTATTTTTATATGTACATACAAGAGACATTTTCTTTGACATATAAAAATACAGAAATATTTACATGTATACAAAAATATTAAAACACAGATTTCAGAAATGAGAAAAACAAGTTTTGACAAAGGATACATTCTTGAGAAATACACACACTGAAAAAAAGCTTAGAAAGGTGACAAAACATTTAACAGATGCCGGAAGTTGATATTTCTGTTCATATCAATTGGGTAAGTCAAATATAAAATGTCAGAAATGCTAACAGATGGAAAACCAGACTTATATTTAAGATTGTCTAGGTAAAATTGCATGGCTTTCCTTTACTATAAAATTGAATCAATTTTTTTTAAACCCTCAGTATCATGTAACTACCTAACTTCTTAAAATATTTAAATTGTTCAATTTGTACTGAGAATTTTAGACTTTTTCTCATTAAATTGTAAAATATTTCAAGAGGTTATCTATCCTCTTTATACTCTAGGGGAAAAAACCTCAGGATCCTACATTGATTTCAACATAAAATTGAAAATCACAATACAGTTTTGTTTTTTTTTTTTAAGTTAAAAACTAACATTTTCTAACTAATATTCATGATCAGTAACAACTAATTCAATCACAATCTTCGTAAATTCTTTTTGCTTTTCTTTGTACCAGGCAGGGGACCTATTTTACAACTGGCTTTGAGGAACTTGCCATCAGAACAGTCTTTAGTAGTATGATAATCACAGAGACACCTTGTACAATAATCAAATCCACAGCCTTCTCGTTTGCAGGTTGCCCTTTGTAAATAGCAATCATATTTTGCAGGTGAATTACAGCGAATACAAGCTTTGAGGCTTTCGTTCTTTTTCAAAGTCTTGGCAACCTCAGAGAATTCATTGTGTCGACTGTAAGCAGAACCTTTCTGATCACCTCGACTGGCTACCTTGGCTTGAGCGTCTTTCTTGAGAGAAGTCTGGGATGCTGATTTCTGAACAGAAGCCAGTGGGCTTCTGAACATAACATATTCTCTGGTTGAAACATGTGGTGAAAACTTATTGTCTTCGGTAACTCTCTGTATTGCTTTACTGTACAATTGGAATGCCCCCTTATCATCTTCTAGGATCTTCTTCCAAGTTGTGCTCACTTTAGACAGGTTGATTAAGTCCATATCACTGAGTTGTGCCAAAATAGTTGCTAAGAGATGTCTGAGTCCTCTTAGAAAGAGTTCACTGAGAATATCTACACATTCTAGGCCCATTTTTCTACCAATTATATTCTGCAGTCTAAAATTCCCTTTGGCTATAATTTCCTTCAGCATCTCCTGATCTACTTTAGGATTTCATTTTGCATTCTTTTTTAATGTCGAACAAACCACTTTTTCAAAATGAAGAACTGGCAGCAAGTTTTTGTTGGGATATTGGTCTGGGCTTTGTACCTGTAGCAGGCAGGATTGTGGACTGTCACTGAAATTTTCCTCCAGGAGGCTATCTTCTTCATGTTCATTGAGGCCACTTAATTGAGAAGATGAAGAATAGCCACTGTCTTCATAAAATCTACTGGTCTCTAGTGCTTCTATTTCATTTGTATTATGAGAGAAACCGACCCCCCGGGCCCGACGGCGCAACCCGCCCGGGGCGCACTGGGGACAGTCCGCCCCGCCCCCTCCCGCGCGGACCACCCCCGTCGTCGGGGGTGGGGACGGGGAGGGGGTGGGAGAGCGGTCGCACCGTGGGAGGGGCGGCCCGGTCCCCCCGAGGGACACCGGCTTGCCCCCGCGGGGGGGGACTCCCTCGCGGAGGGCCCCCCGCGGGGGTGGGCGCCGGGAGGGGGGAGAGCGCGGCGACTTTTTTTTTTTTTTTTGAGACGGAGTTTCACTCTTTTTTTTTTTTTTTTTTTTTTTTAATTTATTTTTTTATTTTTTTTATTTTTATTTTTATTGCATTTTAGGTTTTGGGGTACATGTGATGATCATGCAAGATTGTTGCATAGGTACACACATGGCAGTGTGGTTTGCTGCCTTCCGTCCCCTCACCTGTATCTGTCATTTCTCCCCATGCTATCTCTTCCCACCTCCCCGCCCCCTGCCCCTCCCCCATTTCCCCCCAACGGACCCCAGTGTGTAGTGCTCCCCTCCCTGTGTCCATGTGTTCTCATTGTTCAACACCCGCCTATGAGTGAGAATATACGGTGTTTGATTTTCTGCTCTTGTGTCAGTTTGCTGAGAATGATGGTTTCCAGGTTCATCCATGTCCCTACAAAGGACGTGAACTCATCGTTTTTGATGGCTGCGTAATATTCCATGGTGTATATGTACCACATTTTCCCTATCCAGTCTATCGTCGTTGGGCATTTGGGTTGGTTCCAGGTCTTTGCTATTGTAAACAGTGCTGCAATGAACATTCGTGTGCACGTGTCCTTGTAGTAGAATGATTTATAATCCTTTGGATATATACCCAGTAATGGGATTGCTGGGTCAAATGGGATTTCTATTTTTAAGTCCTTGAGGAATCGCCACACTGTCTTCCACAATGGTTGAATTAATTTACATTCCCACCAACAGTGTAAAAGTGTTCCTATTTCTCCACATCCTCTCCAGCATCTGTTGTTTCCCGATTTTTTAATGATCGCCATTCTAACTGGTGTGAGATGGTATCTCAATGTGGTTTTGATTTGCATTTCTCTGATGACCAGTGATGATGAGCATTTTTTCACTCTTGTTGCCCAGGCTGGAGTGCAATGGCGTGATCTCGGCTCACCGCAACCTCCGCCTCCTGGTTTCAGGCAATTCTCCTGCCTCAGCCTCCTGAGTAGCTGGGATTACAGGCACGCGCCCCCATACCCAGCTAGTTTTTTGTATTTTTAGTAGAGACGGGGTTTCACCATGTTGACCAGAATGGTCTCGATCTCTCGACCTCGTGATCCACCCGCTTCGGCCTCCCAAAGTGCTGGGATTACAGGCTTGAGCCACCGCACCCGGCCTTTTTTTTTTTTTTTTTTTTTTTTTTTTTAAATAGAGTGGAGAGTCTCGCTTTGTCACCCAGGCTGAAGTGAAGTGGTGCGATCTCAGCTCACTGCAGCCTTTGCCTCCCAGGTTCGAGCAGTTCTGCCTCAAGGCTCGCGTGTAGCTGGGACTGCAAGCACATGCCACCATACCCAGCTATTTTTTTTTTTTTTTTTTTGGTGACAGGGTCTTGCTCTGTTGCCCAAGCTGGAGTGTAGTGGCATGATCTGGGCTTACTGCAACATGTTCACAGGTTTAAGCGATTCTCCTGCCTCAGCCTCCCAAGCAGCTAGCACAACAGTTACACACCATCACACCCAGCTAATTTTTGTGGGGTTTTTTATTTTTTATTTTTGAGATGGAGTCTCACTCTGTCACCAGGCTGGAGTGCAGTGGCACAGTCTTGGCTAACTGCATCCTCCGTCTCTGGGTTCAAGTGATTCTCCTGCCTCAGCCTTCTGAGTAGTCGGGACTACAGGCATGAGCCACCACATCTGGCTAATGTTTGTATTTTTAGTAGAGACAGGGTTTCACTATGTTGGCCAGGCTGGTCTGGAACTCCTGACCTCAAGTGATCCACCCACCTCAGCCTCTCAAAAGTGCAGTGCCACCGCACCCTGCCAAATATATAGAGTCTTACAGTCACCACCACAATCAAGTCACAGAATATTTTTGTCACCCCAGATTTCTTTTATTCTCCTTTACATGTGCCTCCTCTACCCCAGCACTAGGCAACCCTGGATCTGCTTTTTGTCACTTTAGTTTTGCCATATCAAGAATTTTGGAGGCACAATGGCTTATGCCTGTAATCCCAGCACTTTGGGAGGCCAAGGCAGGAGGACCACTTGAGCCTAGGAGTTTACCATCTCTAAAGGGAATATGCCATAATTTATCCTAGTGTTAATGGATATTTGGTTGAGTGCAGTGGTGTGACTGTGGCTCACTGTGACATCGAGCTCCAGGGCCAGTGATTCTCCTGCCTCAGCCTCCTGAGTAGCTGGGACTAGAGGTGTGATATGGTTTAAATCTGTGTCCCCAGCCAACCAAATCATGTCATATTGTAATCCCCAGTCCCTAAAACAAACACAACGTTTCCTGTAAATAGTTAAACAGTATATAGCCTGTTGTGTCTGGCTTCATTTATTCAGTGTAATGCTTTTGAGATTCATTCACACTATTGCATATATCACTAGTTCATACCTTTTTTTTTTTTGGCTGAGTAGTATTCTGTTGTATGTCTGTACCATTGTTTGGATATCTGTTTATACATTCACCAGTTGGGGGACATTTGGATTGTTTCGAGTTTGGGACTTATGAATAAAGCTGCTGTGAATATTTGAATATAAGTCTTGGTGCGGGCTTGTGTTTTTATTTTGGGGAGTACGCTCTTAGGGAGTGGAAATATGAAGTCTTATGGTGTGCTTTTAACTTGGTAACGAACTACCAGATTGTTTACCAGAGTGTTTAATATCCTTTTGCCTTCCTATCTGAATAGTTTTATCTCTCTCATTTTGAGTGAGGTTGAAAGCATCTTTTTATATGCAATTTGCTTGTATTTCCTTTTCTATAAATTATTCAAATCTTTTTGCCTGTTGTTCTATTAGGTGTTAGAATAAAAAAAGAGGGAGAGAGAATGGGGGTATTGCTTTGTTGCCTGGGCTAGAATGAAGTCTAAATATGGGTATGCCTATAATTGTCCTTAATAATGGAGACATGAAAGAAAATGAGGGAAGAGAATAACAAACAAGGAGCCAACCAACATTTCGTTTAAACTTCTTTTTTTTTTTTTTCTTTGAGACGGAGTTTCGCTCCTGTCACCCAGGCTGGAGTGCAATGGCGCGATCCCGGCCCACTGCAACCTCCGCCCCCTGGGCTCAGGCAACTCTCTTGCCTCAGCCTCCCGAGCAGCTGGGACCACAGGCACGCGCCACCGTGCCCAGCTAATTTTTTTGTATTTTTAGTAGAGACGGGGTTTCACCATGTTGACCAGGATGGTCTCGATCTCCCGACCTCGTGATCCACCCACCTCGGCCTCCCAAAGTGCTGGGATCACAGGCTTGAGCCACCGCGCCCGGCCTCGTTTAAACTTCTAAGTTGATATGATGTGGTACTGATAAGAGTGTATATTTTGTGTAAAGTGGAGAGTTCTATAAATGTTAATTCATTTACTTGTTCCAGATCTGAGTTCAAGTCCTGGATATCGTTGTTAATTTTCTGTCACATTGATCTGTCTACTATTAATGTTGACGTCTCCCACTATTATTATGTGGGAGTCTAAGTCTCTTTATAAGTCTTTTATGTCTGGGTATTCCTGTATTGAGTGCGTATATATTTAGGATCTTTAGTTCTTCTTGTTGCGTTGATTCTTTTATCATTATATAATGTCCTTCTTTGCTTCTTTTGATCTTTGTTGCTTTAAATACTATTTTATCAGAGGCAAAAATTGTAACTTCTACTTTTTATTTGTTTTTGCTCTCTGGTTGGTTGGTAAATCTTTCTCCATCCCTTGTTTTGAGTCTTTGTGAATCCTTGAATGTGAGATGGGCCTGGATGCAGCGTACCGATGGGTTTTAGTTTTTTGTCCAAATTGCCTGTCTGTCTTTGAATTGGGGAATTTAGTCAATTTAAATTTAGAATTAATAATGATATATGTGAGTTTAATACTGTCATTTAATATTAGCTGGCTATTTTGTCCATTAGTTGATGTAAATTCTTCATTATATTGATGTTCTTTACTTTTTGGTATTTTTTAGAAAGACTGATACTGTTTGTTTTTTTCTATGTGTAGCGGTTCTTTCAGAAGCTCTTGTAAAGCAGGCCTGGTGGTGATGAATTCTCTGAGTGCTTGCTTGTTCACAAAAAACTTTATTTTTCCTTCACTTACAAAGCTTAGTTTGGCTGGATGTGAAATTCTTGGTTGAAAGTTCTTCTCTTTAAGGATGTTGAATATTGGTCCCCACTCTCTTCTGGCTTGTAGGGTTTCTGCTGAGAGATCTGCTGTAAGTCTGATAGGCTTCCCTTTATGGGTAACCCGACCTTTCTCTCTGGCTGCCCTTAGTATTTTCTCCTTCATTTCAACCCTGGTGAAACTGACGATTATGTGTCTTGGAGTTGCTCTTCTTGAGGAATATCTTTGTGGTGTTCTCTGTATTACCTGGAGTTGAATATTATCCTGCCTTACTAAGTTGGGAAAATTTTCCTGAATAATATCCTGAAGCGTATTTTCCAGCGTGGATTCATTCTCTTTGTCACATTCAGGTACACCTATCAAGCGTAGATTAGGTCTTTTCACATAGTCCCATATTTCTTGGAGACTTTGCTCGTTCCTTTTTATCCTTTTTTCTCTAATCTTGTCTTCTAGTTTTATTTCATTGAGTTGGTCTTCGACCTCTGATATCCTTTCTTCTGCTTGATCAATTCGGCTCTTAAAACTTGTGCATACTTCACGTAGTTCTCGTATTGTGTTTCTCAGCTCCATCAATTCGCTTATTTTCCTCTCTAAATTTTGTATTCTTGTTGACATTTCGTCAAACCTTTTTTCAAAGTTCTTAGTTTCTTTAGATTGTGTTAGAACAAGTTCTTTTAATTCACAGAGGTTTCTTTTTTTTTATTGC